CCCTCCTCTGCGGTCAGATGAATTGTCATGACACAAGACTCCGATTCGATTCCACGATGTATTATATCCATCTCGTTCACCGTCTCGTTTGTATTGATGTTGTTATTTTTTATCTCCTTTGTACGGTTTTATTTTCCCAATGAGCCAAGCTTATCATTTGCACTCTCTTTATAAATGCACTTTGCATTATACACAAGCGATACTTACACACGATTCAATGCCCGTTGTCTGTCATAAGCGTGGGTAGATGGCTTCCGTTTCACAAACATTGACGTAATCTCTGGCAATACTCTTGTCGTGTCTTGTAAAATCACTCAGACGGACACATTGTAACAAGTCACCTGCTTACACTTTATTTACCGATTCTTGTGTAGTGACTGTGCTTGTCACTATGGTGCCGGGGCTTACGAAGCCACGGCGGGTAATGTTTTGTCATTACGGGCAGCCCGGGTTACAGGATGTAGTACCGACCCTAGCGGGGCTTGGGGGGGCTCCCGGTGAGGGAGCGAGAGGGAGCGTCAGCCAGCCAGGGTTACGTTGGGGTATGATACGCTGGTTGACCTGCTGACACGTGACCGGACGATATTGGAGGGGGGCCACCGGTGGACGGGGGCCGCGGGGCGGTCACGTGGTCCAAAGGAGCTCTCGGGAACCTTCGAGAAGGAGCTTGAGAGACCTGGAATGTGGGCGGGGCGAAGGGCGGAGCCAGCCCCAGCCCGGGGGGCATATAACGAGGGCCCCGTGAGGAGTTCGGGGTTCTTCGTGTGCCGGTGTTACGAAGATCCACGTCGGGGAGAAGAAGCCTCTAGCCATGTGGTCCGGGACCCAGCTTGTGGTCCGCTCCGGGATGGCGAACCGCGTCTAGTTCTGCCGTAGCGTGGCTAGATGGGCGTTCGAGACCCGAGTGTAGATTGTGTTATGTGTAAATAAACAGTGTTGCTCCTAAGATAACGTGTGCGACTCAGTTGGACTCACTACACTTGCACCAGTTGTAGGCACTCCTACAACTACCTACACGGTCACTTAGACCTAACTTCTTCCACTCGTCTCTACGTTACACCTCACCTATCCTGCCCTCGGCAGCTCCACTCCCAGCCACTCCGCGCACAGCTTAGTTGCACTCAGCATCTTCACACACAGAGGCTTCGCACAGAGCGCCTCAGCACACAGCAGCTTCTCAACACAGAGGCTTCCCACACTCCACCGCTGCTCTCGCCTACACTCCCTCAGACCCACTCACTCGTCTGTCCTGGGTGGGGGGATCAACCTTCACCCACCCGGCGACTCGTGAGGGTTGAGGTCCGTTGACGGCTTGAGCGGCAGCGGCGAGATGTCTTCACTCTTGTCCCCAGCAACAACTAACTCTGCTCCGTTCACACACGTCCTTATATCCTACGGCCAATCATCCGAGAGCTCTCGTGTGTCTCTTTAGTGCTAGCCAGGCTGGCGCCTGTCAGCTCATTGATCAACCCTTATCTCCCGTCTCCCTGGCAACACCTCCGGTGTCAGCTCGCTCAACTGGTCGACCCGGTTTGCACCCGCTTAGCCCCTTAATTAGGTGGCGGTGCAACTCCATGTTGCACACGCGCACCTGCTTGCCCTCGGTTGTCCTCGGTCAACTGTGCGCACCGCGTATTTCACTACACTACACTCTGATGCGGCCAGGTACTGCTGCGGTTAGAGCGCCCGACTCACAACCTAAACCTGTGTAAAAATCAGCGCCGGGGAGAAAAAGGCGGCCTCGCGTGGCACTGGTCACGCCCGCCCCCTCGCGTTCGCTCTGTCCGCCTTCATAGGTGCTTGCGAACAGCACTTGGCCCAACAGTATATTAAAGGCTACACAGGGGGTGTATGTCTACGTGCGAGCGAGACGCGCAGATGTATGCATACGGAGGGTGGGGGCGCAGAGCGTGCCGCACTATATTGTGATTCCTCTTGCCGGAAACAACATCACGCGGCACCTGAACCCATCCTGGGCATCCACTAGGGCAGTGGTTCCTAGCCTGCGGTCCCACGGGAAGGCCACGGGAAGGCCACGGGTAGGCCACGGGAAGGCCATGGGAAGTGGTCTGCGGAAGCATTGCAGATACTTCGCTGGAGAGTCATATTTTATTTCCTAATACAACCAAAAAAATCATTGGTGCGTAGCGGTCCGTGCAAATGTTCCGAGGGTTGACAGCGGCGTTGCGGGGCCTGAAATGTTGGGAACCACTGCCCTAGGTCGATTCAGCATTAAGCGAGCACCCAGAACTGCGCGCGCGCGTGATCATCAGCACTGCGGAGACAGGCAGCTGGCAACATCATGGTCTCACACACCATTCTTCACACTACCTGTCCCTACAGTTAATTAAGACGAGCTGGGCTCTGGGTGCCACTGTGCGTGCTTGCGTGCATGTTTGTGTGTGGTTGTGTGCGTGCGTGTCACAGGCTTTGGCGTGCCAGCTCCATTCCTCTCGGCGATAGCCATCTCCCAGCACAGGTGCCCCCCCACCACCCCCGAGCGCCCATCCAATCCCTCTCTACCAACCACCTTCTCCATTGCCGCTCACCACCCCTTAACACGTGTACGTGTTAATCCACTGCTGGAATGGGGGGGGGGGGGACCCTGGGGGGGGGGGAACCTTCCCCTCCCCGGTTCACGGAATCTTATTGACCTACTTCACCGCGCTGGTCAGTGCACCTTGGTGACGATGACAAGCACAGACGTCGTGGGGACATTGGAGCACGGTACAACAATGCAATGCCCACCACGTAAGCCCTGCAGCCTGAACTGGTCCTGGGCTCCCATCCTTCACCAACTACCGCTGACCATCGTGGCGAGGTATGGTCAAACAACACTCGTGCCAGGCACGGCATAGAGAGGCCTTCATCCTGCAGTGAAATTGACAAAGACAATGTCCATACACAGACATGTTCTACAACTAGGGTAGTGTGGAGATGCGTACGGTGTTGATTGTGAAGCACAGCAAATGGTCATGGAGGTGGGGAGCACCTAAGATGGTGGGGGGGGGGCACCCAGATCCACAATCACGATGGGATGAGAAGATGACAGCAAATACTAGAGGGTCAGGTGTCGTCCATGCATCTTCTGTGGAATATGGCAGAAGGAAGGAAGCAGTGGTGAAGTGCGGTGACGGTAATGGCATTGACCTTTGAACTTCAGGAACTACACAGCCACCACAAGGGGCTGTTTGTGAATGAGAGGCACGGAGGCCACGACGGTTCATTTTGGAGGAGGGAGGGCGGCAGAGCCCCACCAGGATTCCTGTGGCATCACGACCGGTTGCGTTGAGTCTTCCCGTGGGCGATTTTGTTTGTGTTCTGAGTGGGCCGTTAGCCCGGGGATCGTGCAAAGCAGAGATCAGCAGCTCTCTCGGCAAACACGTGTGGAATGTATCACTTATCCCACGTACACACCTGCCCCTCCGTCACAGCAACAGCTGAGATAGGGCTCAGGATTGGATGTAATGAGGCCAAGGGTAAAGGCACAGCCCTGCAATTGCTCACTCATGCCACTGCTGGCGAAAGGGCCTCCACTAAAGGTAGCTCGAGCGAGGGTATTTTTTGGCCTACTCTTCCACGATGCCCAGGTATCTTGGAAGAGGCGGGTGTAACTTACACTTTACCCCACCACGCACACGACCCGCCAAACGAATAACTGTGGTGTACACGTTTACCCTGCTGGGTGGACAGAGGCAGAGGTTGGGGGATTGACAAAACAGCCACCGAATGTTTCAACTGCCGCGCCTGAAGACGGAGTCTACTCGGCGACCTCTGGATTGCCAGTCCGGTGTGCTGACTGTTACACCGCAGGAACCCTGGACTGGCTCTCGAGGACTTGCGAAGCCCAACACAATCAGAATATGCGTTTATTCTGGAGGAATCCGATGAGCTATAACGCTCTTTTTCACAGATGTCCAGCAGGGGTGGATAAGAACGTTACAATAACAACAAACTATACAAAAACACACTAGCAGTGCAAAGTACAAGAACAGTAAACAAATTACTAAACCATCCCCATCCTACCAGGCAAAGTCCACTGAGGTATTAACTTCTTTTTCAGAAATGACCTGGCCACAAATGATAACTCAATAAAGTATGCGATCAGAACATGAACATATCGACACGCACCACGGAAGATTATCCGATGAATGTGGAAAAAGAGCACTGGACTGTGAGTACATTACATTGAGGCTGGGGGCACTTGTGATGATGAAGGGTAATTAATCATTCTTCTTGAATATGACTGAAGGGCAAAGTCTACGTCGAGCGTCCGTGGGCAGTTCTCTAACGCACGGGGTTGCATCTCTCTGCGAGAGTTACAAAGCGAATCTGTGAGGACATGACGACAATAGCACAACTTGAATACCTTTGGGGGGAAAAACGATTAAAAAAAGGATTTCCATTACGATATGTTTCATCTGTAGAATAGAGTATAGTTCAAACCAATTACATTCATAAAGGCATGGAATCCGGTTTTGCATTCAAAAGTGACCGGGGTGGAATAGTTTGTAAACTATGTAGGCTTTGGCGGCGGTGTGATACGGGCATTGTAGTGGCGAGATGTGAACTACCTCGCGAGATGTGAACTACCTCGCGCGATGTACAAGAGGCTGTGGGTTCGATTGCGACCCCGATGCCTCGATAATTTGAGTTTGCATGGCTCTCTCCCCGTGGTCGCGTGGATTTTTCTCCGGGCCCCCCGGTTTTTCCCTCCACATTTAGAAGCAACATGCGGTTTAGAGTATTTGGCTGCTAGAAATTTACACATGATGAGAAGCCACTTCTCAATGGGCTATCAATTGTGGCCAGGTCACTTCTGAAAAAAAAGGCTAAAAAACAGCTCAGCGGGCGCCTTACCTGGTCAAATAAAACAAGCCGAAGGCGAGTGTTTGAACACACACGGAAGACGGGATTGCATTTCTTGTACGAGGAGCTTCTTGGTGGCTTCGTGAGCGAGAGAGTGAAAGAAATGTCGCGGCGCGGTGACACTCGCTTGCCTGGCGATGCGGAGCGGTGGGGGCAGCTGTTTCCGGCTCGGCAGCGGGGACGACGGAGGCTTGGGCACGAGCGGAGTCGCCCTCTGGGTCCACGGCACGGACGGGGGGCCCTCGGCCAGCATCGCCTGTGAGCGGTGCCACCACCATCATCATCATTATCACCACCACCCACTAAATTAAAACTAGGTTTATTTTTATTCTTAGTTCTTTCGGTAAAATCACGTTGAAGGGAAACAACAAAATAATAAAATATATATAAAACAATAAAAATTCTCACGACGTTTATATATATTTTATTATTTTGTTGTTTCCCTTCAACATGACTTTACCGAAAGAACTAAGAATATGAATTACTGCTTTCACGAAAGCTTTAAATCAAAATTTAGGTTTATTTTACCAGGTAAGGCCCACTGAGCTGCATAGCTCTTTTTTTAAAAGTGACCTGGCCATCACAAATGATGGCTCAATGGAAGTGGCTTATAAGGTGGAAATTTATAGCAGACAAATACGCTAAACGCACGGTGATTCTACACGACTACGGGGAGAACATGCAAACTCCAAATATGCAGTCATCAGAGTCAGGATCGAGCCCAGGCGAGGGAGATAACATCTCGCCAACGTGAACCGCAAAACTCTACGATAAGCGGCGAATGCGCTACTGCTGGGCACCTCCGATTAGCACGGTTGGCTACAGTGAGGGAAAAAAGTATTTGATCCCCTGCTGATTTTGTACGTTTGCCCACTGACAAAGCAATGATCAGTCTATAATTTTAATGGTAGGTTTGTTTGAACAGTGAGAGACAGAATAACAACAACAAAATCCAGAAAAACGCATGTCAAAAATGTTATATATTGATTTGCATTATAATGAGGGAAATAAGTATTTGACCCCCTCTCAATAAGAAAGATTTCTGGCTCCCAGGTGTCTTTTATACAGGTAACAAGCTGAGATTAGGAGCACTCTCTTTAAGAGTGTGCTCCTAATCTCAGCTCGTTACCTGTATAAAAGACACCTGTCCACAGAAGCAATCAATCAGATTCCAAACTCTCCACCATGGCAAAGACCAAAGAGCTCTCCAAGGATGTCAGGGACAAGATTGTAGATCTACACAAGGCTGGAATGGGCTACAAGACCATTGCCAAGCAGCTTGGTGAGAAGGTGACAACAGTTGGTGCGATTATTCGCAAATGGAAGAAACACAAAAAAACTGTCAATCTCCCTCGGCCTGGGGCTCCATGCAAGATCTCACCTCGTGGAGTTGCAATGATCATGAGAACGGTGAGGAATCAGCCCAAAACTACACGGGAAGATCTTGTCAATGATCTCAAGGCAGCTGGGACCATAGTCATCAAGAAAACAATTGGTAACACACTACGCCGTGAAGGACTGAAATCCTGCAGCACCCGCAAGGTCCCCCTGCTCAAGAAAGCACATATACATGCCCGTCTGAAGTTTGCCAATGAACATCTGAATGATTCAGAGGACAACTGGGTGAAAGTGTTGTGTGCAGATGAGACCAAAATGGAGCTCTTTGGCATCAACTCAACTCGCCGTATTTGGAGGAGGAAAAATGCTGCCTATGACCCTAAGAACACCATCCCCACCGTCAAACATGGAGGTGGAAACATTATGCTTTGGGGGTGTTTTTCTGCTAAGGGGACAGGACAACTTCACCGCATCAAAGGGACGATGGACGGGGCCATGTACCGTCAAATCTTGGGTGAGAACCTCCTTCCCTCAGCCAGGGCATTGAAAATGGGTCGTGGATGGGTATTCCAGCATGACAATGACCCAAACACAAGGCAACAAAGGAGTGGCTCAAGAAGAAGCACATTAAGGTCCCGGAGTGGCCTAGCCAGTCTCCAGACCTTAATCCCATATAAAATCTGTGGAAGGAGCTGAAGGTTCGAGTTGCCAAACGTCAGCCTCGAAACCTTAATGAGTTGAAGAAGATCTGCAAAGAGGAGTGGGACAAAATCCCTCCTGAGATGTGTGCAAATCTGGTGGCCAACTACAAGAAACGTCTGACCTCTGTGATTGCCAACAAGGGTTTTGCCACCAAGTACTAAGTCATGTTTTGAAGAGGGGTCAAATACTTATTTCCCTCATTAAAATGCAAATCAATTTATAACATTTTTGACATGCTTTTTTCTGGATTTTGTTGTTGTTATTCTGTCTCTCACTGTTCAAATAAACCTACCATTAAAATTATAGACTGATCATTTCTTTGTCAGTGGCAAACGTACAAAATCAGCAGAGGATCAAATACTTTTTTTCCCTCACTGTACGTACGGTGCGAAAGAAGTTAAACATACATACGTACATCAGCAAAAGCGGTACAAATGTTAACGTCATCAGGGACCAGCTGCCATTATGGGGGGATCTCCTAGGATCCCAACTGCACTCTCAGATCTGTTGCCTCACGTTATGGGTGCAACATTAGTGGGAACGTTGTTTAGAACGGAACGGTGCAATGTGGGACGGTTGCGATGAGATGCGGAGGCATTCAAGCGAGTGCCCTCATAAATGCAAATCCTGATGCTTCGTGAAATCTACATCAACATCACTGGCAGCAGGAACTGAAAAGGAATTAACATCATCAATGAACACCAACAGAAGCATTACCGCCACAGAATGTTTTCTTCGCCGTAGAGTCTGGCCGAGTATCGGCTGTAGCCTTAAGCACGATGAGGATTCGTGAATCATCACAAGTTTCTTGCATTATACACACTTTATAAGTTCCCGAAAATTTCCAATAACAAGTGATTAGTTTTTCCCGCTACAAGGAGCCTCCTAACTATTTTTTCCTGCATGTCTTATTCAAGAGTTCCATCCCTACCACACATTTCCTACTCTCCTCTTCATCAAACCCAATGTCCAGCCTTACGTGCGGGCTTGTAGCGGACAAGACAAAGTACAGCGAAACAGAGGGAGGCACTGCTTCTCTGTCTCTCTCTCCGTCTCGGTCCGTATCTGTGTCTCTATCGTCTGCGCGAGTCTCTCCCCTATGTCTCCGTGACTGTTTATCTGTGTCCGTCTGTTTTTCTGTCTTCTACGAAGGCTACTGTTAACATGAACTCGACTGCAAAAACGAACATAATCCTTATATGAACTCTAACACTAACCCTATCGTTAATACTTTTTCTAACTGTGTTAACGGTAGGATTAGTGTCATGGTTGGCATTAGAGTTAATTACTTTTCAAATGCCATACGAAAGTAGACCATTTAAATTTAGAATTACCAGCCGATATACCACCTCATCTCATTAAGACCAGAGAAACACGAACCAAATGAGTTGATTAATGATGAGAAACTGACAAATTCATGTAGTGGTTAGCTGAATAATCCAATCATTGTTTCCACCTGGCTTTTAAGTAACCGATTTAACCAGCACATGAGTCTTTTTGAATCTGGCCGCACGGTATCCGATTCTCTCGACAGCCGATGGAAAGAAACTTGCTGAACGTGGAAAGAAACACGCATATATATATAGAAAACCGCAAAATGTCTGTGAACGGTATCTCCCAAGCATTCATACCAGCACATGTAAACATTCAACGGTTAATAAATAACACATGGTTTGGAGACACAGAGGAATTGCTCACAATGGGGTTCCACATTCGGCAATGAACAAATTGGTTGAAAATATATATGTACATTGCTAAACAAGGCTTCCTTGTGAGTTGTGTAAATTCCAATGAAGCCACACAAAGCATATACAGTTACACAATACGTGGACCCATCAGAGACCCCCTATTCAATCTAATATTGTCTGGACCCCATCAGAGACCGGTCTGCCAGTCTATTGTTTAGAGACCCCATCAGACACTGGTATGCCAGTCTATTGTCTAGAGACCCATCAGACACTGGTATGCCAGTCTATTGTCTAGAGACCCATCAGACACTGGTATGCCAGTCTATTGTTTAGAGACCCCATCAGAGACTGGTCTGTCAGTCTACTGTGTAGAGACCCCATCAGAGACCGGTCTGTCAGTCTATTGTCTAGAGACCCCATCAGAGACCGGTCTGCCAGTCTATTGTCTAGAGACCACATCAGAGGGGAGACCCTCATCCAGCAGTAAATTGGCAAAGGGCTGTGAATGTTCATGTACAAAGGACATATGTGAGAGGAAGTGGGCGCTTTCGTGCATTTAGCTCGAGTTGCGGGGCAGAGCGCTGAGTCAACGTCGCATTTCCCTGGAGGTGAGTCTGGAGAGAGTGAGTTTGGGCAGTGAGTCTGGGAAGGGTGAGGAAGAGTGAGAGTGGGGAGCGCGCGAGCAGTCGGGAGCCGGGGGTGTGCGTCACAGTACGGGATGCCGTGGGGATACGGCAGCGCGCCGCGCGCTACTCTCCAGCCATGCTTACTCACACTCTCACACTCCCCCATCCCTCCCCTCTGCGTCAGCGCTTGGGTGTGAGAACACCGCTTCTGTGTGTTTTTATTTGTTTGCGCGTCTCTGTCTGTGTTCAATAAATGCTGCTGACGAATACAAATTTTTCCACAAAGCCCACAGTTGGGCAGCCTGAAATATATTGATTTTACGTCGGATACGCCTCATCTTTGTGTGCCCGGCGCAGAAATATTTTCCGGGTTGCACACCTGGGCAGAGCCACGTGAAGTTACGTCCTGCTCACAGAGCACCGTGAATGTTAAGCACCCTACACGGAATCCTATAGCGCGAGTCAAGTAGGTAGCAAGTCGTAGAAATCCAACATCGCTACAATGTCCTCAATCTCTCTGTGGGACAACCGCCATTGACTTGACACGAACCGGCACCGGCACTTGGATGTTACAATGCCACGGCTGGGATGGGCTGACAACACCTCCGATTGGGATTCAAACTCACGACCATTGGTGAAACACGTGCTCCGTTGCTACGTCGCCACTCGCGCTTCAACCTTCTAGAGCGGGTGTAAACGATCATTGCCTGACACCTGCCTGTTTATCCGGAGGTTGTTTTTATACACGAGAAAATCGTTTTAAGCGGGCTGAGTTTTGCGCCAAATCTATCAGGTTCGTAACCACCCTCTCGCGCAACTTTCTCGCATGCGTTCAGAGGTCCCGTTATGTAATGGGCATCGATACAGGATGAATTTTGGCAAACATTTTCTAAGCGGGTTTT